TCCTGAGGGAACCTCTCAGGAGAAATCTTATGTTGGATTTAGTACTAGAAATCTTATGTTGGATTTAGTACTATGTTGGATTTAGTACAGCTGGGTATCTCCTGAGCAGATGCTTTAATCCTCATCTCATGACTCCTGTGAAACATGTCATTGTATTGTTTCCTCTTTCTCATTGGCTACCAGGTAGCTCCGGCCCTGCAGTGTACAGTCCAAAAGACACTTGGCTTTGGTGTACCGACCTGGCTCCCTGTTCTTTCAGAATTTCATACCCTTGTTTCCCATGTCTCATTTGCATCACCTCATTTTCCTGAGGAAGGGAAAAATCCTTGTTGTTTTATGTGTTTTAGCCTCAACTAAATAAACATCTATGGTGGCTCAATACTGGCTACCGCAGACACAGGGATTAAGCATTTCCTTTACGTCTCCATCCCAGAGGTCTGCCTGCCAGCTCCTCCCTCCCTGTCCTGTTCCCCAGCCCCTTGCTCTGATTCCTGGGGCCCCAGAGCCTGGGGAACCTTGAATGAGTTTGGTCGAAAATTTGATGTTCGCGTTCTTTTCCCTCTGCTTTCCCTCCCTACCTCCCCAGGCATACAAACTGCTTTTAGGGAGAAAAATCTAGGAGGGGAGTCATAGTTCCCTCAACTCAGGCCTCAGCTGCCCCCACCTCACAGCCCTGGGCCCACTTGGAGGTCTTTTTCCCTCTCCCACCCTGTGTCAGCTGCCTGAGCTGTGTCGTCCTTGGTGAGCCACTGAGCAGAGACTCGGACCCTCCTGCCTTGGGCATGGGGAAGGGGAGGGGCACTGGCAGTGCCTCGGGCCAGAATGGCAGGCACAATAAGGTGCCAGCGTGCAGTTCTTGCGTGGGTGACTTGACTGTCTCCCAGTGTGAATGGACTCAGACTGAATTTAAAAGCTCTGTGTAAACTGTGCCTTCCCCATGCCAGGCCCCTTGTCCTCCCAGGTAGGCATCTACACTGGTTCAAAAGCAAGTTCTTTCAGTGGTTGTTTATGTGCGTGCGCACGGGCACACACACACACACACACTTTTAAAAGTCAGAAATGGTGGCATACCACTGTACTTGTGTGTTCTAGTCTTAGCCTTTTTTATCCAGCATGTCTTAGGTGACGGCTCTGAATCACTATATATGCATCTCTGACGTAGTTGGAAAGAAAATCCTAGAGTGGGGGAGGATTCCCTTAATCCTCTTGGGAAGAGAAGGGGTGCCCATGGGTCAGCTTTAGGGGGTTCTGGAACCTTCTAATCATGTGTGTCAAATGGTAGGCACAATTGGGCCTTCCTAGGAAGAGGGGTTGTGCCTCTTTAAGGAGTCTGGTCCAGAAAAGACCAAAAGCCACAGTTCTGGGGTGCTGGGGGTTTCACAGAGCAGGAGCACAGGTGGGGGCCTGACTCAGCAGAGGGCAGAGCCTCTTGGTTCTTGGGTTGCACTGGAGCAGCCGCGATCAGGCCGAGGTGGGGGCCAGAGCTGCCCAGCCCTGGTGTCTTCTTGGAAGGTGACTGGGGCTTTCCTGCTCCCAAAGGAGGGTGCCTCTGGTCTGCAGTGAGAGCGACCCTGGCTGTGGGCCTTCCTGGAATCAGAGATCCAGTGCTTCTCCAGCGGTCCGAGCTGGGAGGCCCTTGGAGTCTCTGAATCTGCAGAAAAGCCAAAGCACAGAGAGAGGGCAGGGGCCGAGTGCAAGGTCACTCGGCCGGCCAGGGCTTCCGCGGTGGCTGCTCCTGCCTTTGACATTCAGCTCCTTCCTCTACCAGCACGGACTGAGACCAGCTGCCTGTTGCCGCTTGCCTCTTGGTGTGCGGGCGAGCGAGAGAGGGTGCGCAGGGCAGGGGCCACAGCCTGGTGGGCATATCATCACTCCTCACTGTGTCCTTCGGCATCACCTCCCGCTGGCTTCATTCTCACATCAGGCTGCAACCAACCCGCTGGGAATTCTGAACGCAGCAGGCGTGGGGCTGGAGGCTGCAGGACAGCGAGTGGACACGAGAGGGCAGCAGGCAAACCACTGCCAGGGCTCAGCCAGAGAAGGTTCAGGGTGGAGGAAAGAAGGGCCCTGGGCAGAGACCTGCCTGGCAGAAGTCTGGCCTCCATGGTCAGGCACAATGTCTACCTCACTGTCAGGGTCAGTGATGAATTTGTTGTGGGGTGCTTTTCCGAGATAAAAACAAAGACATTTAATGATAATAGTAACGTATGTTTATTGAGTGCTTATTCTTTGCCAGGCACTGTGTCAACTAATTAGTCCTCACACCAGCCTTGTTAATGTTAATGAGAAAACAGAGACCAGGAGAAGCTGAGAAATCTGGCTGTTCGTGGGGCTGGTCCTGGAGACCATGTTCCTGGCCTGTGCCTGCCATTAATGCATTAAGTCCTTTATTCTACGACCACTACTCTGGTTGTACCTACTTTGTGGATGGGGAAACTGAGGCACAGAGACAGTTGATGAATCACCCTGGGTCCACACACCCTGCTAAGTGCCAGACCCCGTGAGCGTGTGGCTCTGTGACTTCAGTTCTTTGTTCTGAAGTATAGTTCTCCGGTGTAGGGGTATAGGGGAGCTTCTCTAAGCCCACCTGTGCCCTAATCCGAAGTTGACTACACTGAGCTTTCTTCTGGGAGAAGGAGTTCACTGCCTTCCCTGCCTTCCAACAGAAGTGAGAGATTCTGTGTTCTGTGTCCAAAGTTTGCCTGGAGTTTGACTACCGGGAGGTGGAGGGGTATGCAAGGCTGCTGGCAGCCCAGGGTCGGGTCCTGGGCTCACAGCCTGCCTTGGAGGATCAGGGCATTGAGGAGTCTTGCAGAGGCTGGAGTCCCCCTGGGAACAAGGACCTGGCCCAGGGGCCGCTGGTTTTCAGGGCAGATGCTTCTAGCATACCAAGGACGCTTGGCCGGCCCTGGGCCCAGCTCTGCCAGGCTGGCAGGGGAGCAAGGGCATTTCCAGGAGGGCCTGAATTCCTCCACCTTCCTGTTCCCATGCCCTGGCTTTGCCCTCTGGGGCAGGGGGTGGCCTGCTTCTGGGCCCTCGAGCACAGCCCCCTCCCAGGGCCCTGCTGTACCTTGGGATTTCGTGGCCTGCTCTCTTAGGGACATGTACTCTTGAGATGCTCCAGTTCTGTCCGACCTATTAGCACAGGCAGCGCCTTCCAGCCCTGGCCTTAGGCTTCTCTGGGCAGAGGTGGGGAGGGGCACCGAGGGAAGATAATTATATGCTTTCCGCCCTGCAAGATGCACCTTCTTTAAAGAAAACCCTGGGTGAATTCTGTTTGGGGAGCTGGATCCTAGAGCTAAGGAAGTCCCTTTAAGGTTCTGTTTCCTGTCTCACTGGGATGCGGTGGGTGGGGTGTGAGTAGGGAGCAGACATGGAGGAGGGTTTGAAAGTGGACTCCGGAGCCTGCTGCCTGGGCTGAATCCCGGCTCTGCCCTTCCTAGGGGTGTGAGCTGGGGAACAGCATCTAACCTGGCAGAGCCCCAACTTCTCCAGGAAATGGGGACACAACAGTATCAGCCTCTTAAGGTGGATGTGAGGGTGAGCCGAGCTCACAGTCCCCTGCAAGGCGCACTGTGCCCTGGAGAAGCAGGAATGTGTGGAAGTGTCTGCCTTCCCTGGGGCAGTTCACCCACGGTGCCTAGAACAGAGCCTGACTCACGCAGGGTACCTGAGCGATGTTGGAGAATAAGTACACAGGAAGTACTTCTGAAGGAAATGACATTGCAGTTAAGAATGGACCCCTAAGTCACTTAAAAAAAAAAATGAAGTATAAGCTCGGGTTGATTCTCCATGATGCATTGAAACGTGTTATCATGCAATGTCACTTCAATTAAAAAAATTTAAAAAACAGAACAAAACCATCCAGTGATTACAAGCATATTTAGAAAGCTGTCTATTGACCAAAATAAGGAGGATGTGATATGGCAAAAAATGACTTAGAAATGCCACGTAGCCCTGTGACTGATGGATGACCTTCCCTCCCTGTTCTTGAAAGGCATTCCCAGCTGTCTTGGGCACTGGGGCAAGATGGGCCCGTCCTGTGCAGGGGAGTCCCCATTTCATGCAGGATGGGGTTCCTTAGGTACCCCAACCAACTCTGCTGAGGTGACAGCACTCCCAGCTGCTTAGGGCAAGCGGGGATGGTGTGGGTGTGCTCATGGTTTTTCTCTGATTATAGTGGCGGTTCCCATGGATTTAGGTTGTGTCCTCCCCCAGTCACTGCTTCTAGGTGGTCTGGTACCGCTGCCCAGGGGCCGTGAGATCATACAGGATCATAGGCCTGGGAGCCTCAGCTGGCCTGATGCCTCCATCCCTCCCCATGCAAACAGACGCCACAGCCCCACACCCTCCCACCCCCAGGGTATGGGGCTGGATCACTAGCTTAAGAGTCTGACCGAGGGGGCATTCATGTTTCTGCTACTTCTCATTTGCTTATGCACCTTTGCTTCGTCTTTGAATCTCAGTTTCTCCATCTGAACAATGAATGTGAAGGCCCCACCTCCCTGGGGGATTGTAAGGATAACACAGAGTTGAGGGTTGGGTGAGCAGAAGCAGGGAAATGACAGCACACCTGCCCTGCCCCCAAAGCAGTCATGCCCAATGAAGGGATATGGGAAGGATCTTCCCAAAGCACAAGTTCACCCCATCAGCCAAGAGCCAGTAGATCAGCAAGACCAGACGGTGAAGAGAAGGGACGTGCTCTAAGTTTCAAAAAATCACCTTCTGTGCCCCTCTAAGGTCTGGTCCTTTTCAGGCCGCTTTGCAGAATGCATTGGGACGTTAATGGAAAGCATGTTTGAAGGCCAAGTACTTGTAAGCTGGAGAAACAGAACATCATAGCTCCTTGGAGGGCAGCGGGGCACCCAGCGAGCCTGCTGGGTGTGGGCTTCAGGGCGCGGGCAGCTAGCGCCTTCCTTCTGGGCCTCAGTTTCTCGCCTGTGCAATGGAGCGAATTTGGGCATCCATGTGAAATTCTTGCCTGGAACAAATGAGCTAATGTGAATAAAGGGCTCAGCACTTAGGAAGTGCTCATAGAAATCGAACCAAAATAATGCTGCCATCCTGGGGTTTTGAACTCAGAATCTGCGGAGAAAATCAAGGTCGGGAATGAGCCCTGGTCCATGTTTGCTTCCACAGGTAGCTTGGAAGAAGACCCGCGCTCCCTGCTGGCCTGTCCCTGCTAGATTTCAGTGCCTGGACCATCTCCACTGAGCTGCTGCTTTCACTGGAGGTGAGGGGTGAGCCCCTCTGCCCTTGCTAACTTCCCCTAAACCCCTTTCCAGTGAGTCACTGAACAAATTGACTTTTGAAGGGTTAAGCTTATTGTTGATCCTTACTCAAATGCATACCCCATCTGGGCTGAGCTCTGGCCCAGTTTCTTGGGTCAGAAGCCTGACTTTGACACTCTGTTCCATTGTTGGGTGCAGGGTGCTGTCTAGTGGGCTCAGTCTGGTCATCAGAGCTGAACAGAGCTAGCCAGGCCTGGGGGTGTTTGTAGCCAGTGGATTTCTTTGTTGCTCCCTTTGGGGTGGTGGGGGTGATTCCCTGGGGTGGGTTCCTATGTGGGGTGCTGACTCTCAGCAGGGCATGGAGGTATGCAAATCCTCACTGGGTCCTGGTGTGGGCAGAGGGACTATCCCTTGCTGGGAGGATATGGGGTGGGGTGGGATGCAGCCCAAGGTTAGGGGCTGGACCCGGGGGATCAGAGATATCACTGAGTTATTTGGATCCCCAACTGGATAGATCAGGAAGAGCAGGCAGGGTCCCTGGGGATTAGTTTGAGGGGCACAGGACACAGGAGAGAAGGATGGGAAGGGAGGTGTTGGGAGCTCCCCCACTCCCCACTCAGAACCCCTTTCCTCCCTGTCTCCCTGCAGTGTGCTGCCACAGGTTGCTGTGCAGGCTGGCGTGGGCAGCTTGACCAGGAGACTGGTGGCTGCGGGCCCCTGCTCGGAGCAGCCCCCCTTGGTGAGTGCTGGATCCCTCCCTGCATCTGCTCTTGGAACATCCCTAGCTCTCCCCCCAGCTGGGTAGCTGAGCTAGTCTCTCTTGGGGGGCTTCCAGATGCTGAGGCTGCCTCTGCCCTTCACTCTCCCTGCTTTCCTGGGGCCCTCCTCATCGGTCACACTTTATGCCTTGAGCTACCCCTTCCTCTCCTCTCCATCTTGTCTGGGTTCTCTGACCATTTCTGCATCAAATTGGTGGGGGGGGGGTCCCTGAGCTCATGCTATAGGCAGAGAAGGTTGAGGAGTGGCTGGGATGGGGGACCTGTGGGAGCCAGCCCCGCCCCCATCTCTCTGGGCTCCGATCTTCTTTGCAGGCCACTTTGCTCTGCTGTCTTTGAGGGGGGGGTTCACTTGCCTGTGGCCTGGATTCACCCCCCAGTGGCAACAAACAAATCCTGGAGGGCGATGGGGCCCAGGAAAGGGTAGTTCTCAGCAGCCCTTGGGCCCTCTTTGTGTGCCAGGCCAGTTGACTCTTAGAAGTCCTGGTTGCCCCAGGAGTCCTCATCTGGAGGAAGCTGGTCACCTGCATGGGGAGGGCCTTGACACAGCTGATGCTGGCAGCCTGCCAACCCAGGCAGGGGTCCCAGGGTCCTTTCTGCATAGGGGCTTGGGTGGGAAGGAGGCATCTTCCTCTGCCTGGGGGCAGCCAGGGCATGAATGGACGGTGACCACCTGGGGAACTGGGCACCAGCTGGGCACCAGAAGATGCAGGTGGATGCTGGCAGGAGTGTTAGGTGGTGGCAGTTCTTGTTTGAGGCAAGAACTGGTCATTCCTTACATGTGGAAGTTGAGGCATTAGGTGTTTGCACTGTAGGACCCCACAGAGATCATGAGGGGAGGCCCCGGGCAGTGTTCGTTGGTGAAACCCCAGGGAATAGGAATCAGTCCCTGGAACCTCTCAGGAGTCCTCAAAGAATGGTAGCTGCCTAGACCTTGAGCAATGTGAGCACAGGAAAGGGAGCTGGGGTACTTCCCCCGCCCGGAGGCCGGTTTTCCCGCGGGAGCAAGCTGGTGCCCCTGGGGGTGTGGGGCACCCAAGGTGGCTGCTCCTTGACCATGGTCCACCTTTGCCCACAGACCTCGCCTGGTGGAGAAGCAGCCCCATGAAGGTGCCCAGCCATGCAATGTTCCTGGAAGGCCGTCCTCCTCCTTGCCCTGGCCTCCATCGCCATCCAGTACACGGCCATCCGCACCTTCACGGCCAAGTCCTTCCACACCTGCCCCGGGCTGGCCGAGGCGGGGCTGGCCGAGCGGCTGTGCGAGGAGGGCCCCACCTTCGCCTATAACCTCTCGCGCAAGACGCACATCCTCATCCTGGCCACCACGCGCAGCGGCTCCTCCTTCGTGGGCCAGCTCTTCAACCAGCACCTGGACGTCTTCTACCTGTTCGAGCCCCTCTACCACGTGCAGAACACGCTCATCCCCCGCTTCACCCAGGGCAAGAGCCCCGCGGACCGGCGGGTCATGCTGGGCGCCAGCCGGGACCTGCTGCGCAGCCTCTACGACTGCGACCTGTACTTCCTGGAGAACTACATCCGCCCGCCGCCCGTCAACCACACCACCGACCGCGTCTTCCGCCGCGGGGCCAGCCGCGTGCTCTGCTCGCGCCCCGTGTGCAGCCCGCCCGGCGCCGCCGACCTGGCGCTGGAGGAGGGCGACTGCGTGCGCAAGTGCGGGCTGCTCAACCTCACCGTGGCCGCCGAGGCCTGCCGCGAGCGCGCGCACGTGGCCATCAAGACGGTGCGCGTGCCCGAGGTCAGCGACCTGCGCGCGCTCGTGGAGGACCCGCGCCTCAACCTCAAGGTCATCCAGCTGGTGCGCGACCCGCGCGGCATCCTGGCCTCCCGCAGCGAGACCTTCCGCGACACCTACCGGCTGTGGCGGCTGTGGTACGGCACCGGGCGGCGGCCCTACAACCTGGACGTGACGCAGCTGACCACGGTGTGCGAGGACTTCGCCAACTCCGTGGCCACCGGCCTCACGCGGCCCGCCTGGCTCAAGGGCAAGTACATGCTGGTGCGCTACGAGGACCTGGCCCGCAACCCCATGAAGAAGACGGAGGAGATCTACGGCTTCCTGGGCATCCCGCTGGGCAGCCACGTGGCCCGCTGGATCCAGAACAACACGCGGGGCGACCCCGCGCTGGGCAAGCACAAGTACGGCACCGTGCGGAACTCGGCGGCCACGGCCGAGAAGTGGCGCTTCCGCCTGTCCTACGACATCGTGGCCTTCGCCCAGAACGCCTGCCAGCGCGTGCTGGCGCAGCTGGGCTACAAGATGGCCGCCTCCGAGGAGGAGCTCAAGAACCCGGCCGTCAGCCTCGTGGAGGAGCGCGACTTCCGGCCCTTCTCGTGACCGCGCGGCGGGGCGCGGCGGGGCGGGGGCCCCGGGCGTCGGTTTTGATAAAACGGACCGTTTTTAACTGTTGCCTTATCTCCCTCTCCCCCCAGTGCCCGGTCTGTGTGTCCTTCCTGCCCCCTGGGCCCGGCCCCCGCTCCTTCTGCCTCTTTTTGACTCGGAAATTTGCACTACGTCTCGGCTAGGAATCCCCGGGGCAGAGGGGCCTTGAGTGGGGTCCGATCCCCGCCCCGCTCCTTTCAGACACAGGTGGGACGGGTGTCGGCGGTGGGTGGTGACCATGTTTACAAGCACCACACACACACACGTGCACACACACACACACACACGGGCGCCCACGCCAGAGACACCCCCAACCACACAATTTCTGAAGCTTTCAGAATGCTGGAGAGGGGTGGGGCAGGTCGTGTTTGTACTGTCTGATTTCTACAAGGTAAGAGGTTGAAAACACAAAGGCCACCTCTCTCTCTAATTTATGAATGGTGTCCCTCCCTCCCCATCCTGCCTCCTGACCCCAAGGCTACTGCCCCCGGAGCAGAGAAACTGCCCCATCCTGCACACCCGTGCCTGTCGGTGAGCAGGTTTTTACTGTGAGGTGAATGTGGACCTTTATTTTTTTCCAATCTGTGGCGATGCTGTCTGTCTGTCTGTCTGTCTGTCTGAGTCTTGTGGCTGCCCCTGGACTAGTGATGGCTGATAAATCTTAGGGGTTTCTGATTGATCTTGGGGTCCATCTATGATATTTCTTTGTGCCAAAAAGAAAAAAAAAAAAAGTGAATCAGTTTGCTAAATGAACATTGAAATGCTTCATCTGTGTTTTCTGTAAATAAAAGTACAATAAGATCTGAATGTGATTGTGGGACATTTTATGCGAGAGGGCACGCCATGCTGGGGTCTAGGTGTTTCTGGTTTTGGGGAGGAGAGAGGCCTTGGGGATTGAATAACAAGTCTCAGACTTTTTGAACTCGGGTTGTCTTTATCACCCTTGACATTGAGTTCAGGGTTTCATTGTCCTTCAGGCAGTTGAGATCAGATACCTTCTGGCCAGGGGGGATAGATCTGAAATATCTAACAAGTGCTGATGGCTTGCTCAGTCAATGACCTGAGGTCAGCATGAGGTCTCGGCATATCCTATGCCAAGGTCTACCCTTTAATTTCTGGGTCTGGGGCCAGGATAGCATTTGAGGAACGGGGTGGCTCCTTATTAACTTGCCGGGAAGTAGTCGAGTGGGTGGCTTCATGCTGAGCCTGGGAAAGCCTGGAGCTCCTGGCCTTTTGGGAAAGAACCCTTTCCCTCAACTTACATGACTGGAGTCTTGACTTGTGTACACTGGTTTGGGTGGGGGGGGACATCAGCTGTGTTACTTCCCTTTCCTTCCTTGCCAATCCAGCAGCTTCCCCAGCTGTTATTCCAAGGAAGCAGCTGGTCCCTGGGGTTGAGGACACAGTTCTGTTGTGAAGAGCAACACGAGTGCCTGGGTTAGGCAGCCACAGAAGGCCTGGGCTTCCTGAGGTAACTTGGCCCTGGTCAGGTGAATATAGACTTAGCCTCTACAGCAAATACCTTGGATAATAGTAACTTAGTGAGGGCAGGTTATTTTGTTTCATTCTCATGCATACAGGTTCAAGCTGGTCAAGGCTGATATCTTGGCTCCCAAGTTGTGTGCCCAGGTATCAGAGGCCCTGGGTCTTTGCATCTTCTTGCTGCTCCACCATCATAAGGTGTTGCCCTTGACTCGTCAGGCAGAGAGAAGAAGAAATGAGATGGGAGGGCACAGCTCTGTCATTTGTGAGAACCCCTCGGAGTTACAGATATCACTCCCCTTCATGTCTCATAGGCTGCAAGGGAGGCTGGGAAGTGTAGGTTTTTATCTGAGTGGCCAAAACTGTTAAAGTGGCCAAGGAGTCTGGACTTTAGATTTCTTTTCTGCAAAAGAGACTATATGATTTACAACCTCATGCTGTAAGACCAGTGAAGCTGATTTAGAAAAGTCTCTGGCAGGACTGGTGGACAGGGCCTGGACTTTTGGCACCCTCTTCTCAGCCCCTGGTTCATAGGCATTACTACTCCAGCCTGAGGTGAGGGAGACATCCCTACAAGTTGTCTCCCTGGTCCTGGGAGTTAGAGAAGTTGGGGAGAGCTTCTCTAAGGGGGTGGTGCCTGAAGTAAGTCTTGGGGAGGGCATGAGATGATCCTTCCCAGCTGAGGGAGCAGAAAAGGCACAGTGATAGGAAGGCCTGGGACGCTCATGACCGCGTAGACATAACGTGCCCCCACGTCCTGCCCTCAGCTTCTCAAGCTTAGAAAATCCACATTGCCAGATCACCCAGGAAAGTTCAGTTTTAAGGGGTTTATTTATGATGGCCAGATCCTCAAACTAGAGACTGAGAAGCCAGAGGCCTTGCCCACTTTTAGGGTAAAGACCAAAGTTCTGGAATCCTCTTAGAGGCCCTTCATGTCCTGGCTCCTGCCTACTTCTAGCTTCCCCTCCAGTGTTCCCGCCCTCTCGCGCCTTCCTGCTTTCCTTCAATTCCTTGAACACACTGAGATTGTGTAGTTGTAGCCCCCGTGCATGCCTTTCTGGAAACATAGTCTTGGGTAGCCGCCTCCCATTGCAATCCTGTGTGTGGCCATGCGTCTTAGCTGCTGGGAGCTTGTCCTTTTTTGCAACCTTGTGGGAGCCTTTCACTGCCATGTGAAGGAAGCCCAGAGCAGCTGACCAGAGATGCAAAGAACCAAAAGTGCCCCAGCGCGTGGTCAGCCAATTCCTCAGTGACTTGGTGACTGACGCAGGTGCACAAGTGAGCCCTGTCAAGATCAGCCACGATCTCACCCAGGTTGTTAGAACCGCCTGACTGAACCCAGCCAAGTCTCTGACCCACAATATTGTGGGTTAAAAAAAAGTGGTGTTTGTTTTAAGTCACCAGGTTCTGCAATGACTTGTTATGCAGTGAAAGCAAACCCATACACACACCATTCTCTGTCCCAGTGCAGAGTTTTTGCACAGAACTTTCCTTATGCCTAAGTCACCCCTACTCCTGTCTTTCCCTAATTCATGTCCACTCAGCCTTTGGATCTCAGTTTAACTATCAGTATTTCCTTGGTTTTACCAGATCAGTTATCTTGATTATAGCCCTTACATAACTGATTATACATCTTATATATCCTGATTATAGGCCCGTGTGGCACCAAGCACATCTTTTTTATAGTGTTTACCACCGTTGTAATCACAATCTTTACTACAGGAACTTGCACTCAACAGGTATCCAATAAACACTGGTTGTGTGAGTAAAAGAATGAGTAAAACATTCTTCCCCACCTGATAAAAGAGCTGGCTTGTGTTGAGTCTTTACCGGTGGGGTGGAGGGTTGGGGGGTAAGGCTTCTTAGGGATCTGAAGGGGAATGGAGGCACCTGAAGGGGAATGGAGGCCCTTCACCCTGCGTCTGACAAATAATAATGGACACTTGAGCTAGGCTGGTTCCAAGAATCCACATCTACTTCCTCACAGTGAACAGTTCTCTCCAACTCCACACACCAACACTGGATCGCCTGTTTCTCTGTCACCTGCCTGCCACTTGTTACAATTTCCAAAATTAACACTCTTTAGGGAGGATCAACTAGGAACAAACACACGGAAAAGAATTTTAGTTTATGAAGCACGCCTTCCCCTCCTACCAGTCACACCTCGACGTGGGCTGTTTCCTGCTGACACAGAAGCACCTTTTCCTTGTCAGGAAGTGGTGGTCAGAGCCCCACGTAGGCAGGCATGGCCCCACCCCCATCTCCTCTGTGTGGCTTAGATCCTAAGGAGAAACTTCCCAGTCTTGTCCCACACTCGGCACCCTCTCACTGGTGGCTCTAGGGCCAAGTTCCGTCAGTTCTTTTCACCACACGCTTCCTCTGTTTGTGTGTTCGCACCTGCTCACCCTTGTTTCTCTCCTTGCCAATAGCAAACACGCGGGTCTCCCAGCCCCACTTCCCGGGGACTCTGGGGAGCTCGCTGGTCTCTGCTTCCTATCATCCTAGAGGGTATTGTCTGGACCAGACCTGCCCTTCCTGGCGTATCCTCCCTGGGGAAGAATTTCTCCCTGCAGGAATGCCTTTCTTTGTTGGGAAGGAAAAGATATGGGAGAAGCCCCTTTTCAGATCCATTAAGAAAACACATAAGCTTCTGTCTCTGGAGGCCTGGACAACAGATGGGAATTGGTTTTTTAGGCAGGTAGCCAAGGTCTGCACTCCTCAGGGGGTCCAGCCGCAGCCGTGGACCGCACGGCCCCTGGGGTGGTCTTCCTGTGTATGTGTGCACACACGTGTACAACTGGGAGACCGAGGCCCAAGCTGAGGCTCTCACTGGGCTGGGGGCCTGCAGTCCACGTGCCCGGGATCCACAAATGGGGTGACTGCCCAGGCCTCACTGGGCATCTATCAAAACCTCGGATCTGCCTGCCCTGCCTACCTCCCTCTAGTGGCGCTTTCTGCTTCTGGGATTTGCCACCTGCTGAGGACTTGTAATTGCAATCAGCTCTTTTTGATCGTGGGAACCACAGTGATAAAAAGCATGGCTCCAGGTTCCAGTCCCATCGTTGTCATGTGACCTGGGGCATGTAAACCCCCATGTCCTTATCTGTACAGAGATAACCATGATAATACTCATCTCAGAGGGCTATGTGAAGACTATGCATTACACAGAAAAGCATAAGGTAATGTATTTAAGTGCATAATATGGTGCTTGGCCTATTAGTTCTCAGTAAATACTAGTCACCATCATTATCACCATCACCACAATCATCATCTTCATCCCATCATCATCTCACCCACAAATCCTAGCAAGTTGCCTGGAATATGCTAGATGCTCAATGAACATCTGTTGTATGAGCACTTGTTTGGTGAGCTCTTCTGTATTGAACTGCGATTGTAACAGGGTGGTCCCCAGGAAAGGGGGAGGTTCCAGCTTCCCTGCCCCACCCAAGGAAGGGTGGAGCTGAGCAGGGAGAGAAGAAGCTGCAAAGAGACTGAGGAAGGAAGCAGGATGGAGCCAGGAGACCTGGAGGAGGTGCACGGAGCCTAGAGACACGTGAAGAAACTGCGCTTGTCTTTTAGTCGTGGACTGGGTGACACAGATGTGGGTGAGACCCGTGGGGAGGTGACCATGGCAGCTTTTATCTGGATGTTGATTTTGCTCTTTTCCTTCCGGGCTTGTCCAGTTGTTTGTGACCCTTTTCTGTGGGTCCCCACTGGAAGATGCTTTAGACTTGGGGCAGGCTTTGGGGCCTTGCTCTGGGCCAATCCAATTTGGATGGACTTTTACCCACGAGGGGACGGGTAACTTTGGGTGCTTCATTTAGAAACTAGACTCTTTGCCTTACCTGTATTGTTTCCTAGTTTTATTAAAGTTCCTTCCCATTAAAGTCTCCTATGTTTTGTGTTGATGCGGCGGATGGCAGAACCCATTTAGAATAGGCAGGTTTGCGGGGCTTGGGCTGCCCCTCTCCCTGTCCTATAACACTATGAATGCATGAAATTACACCAAATAAAATAGCATGGAACCAATGTAGTCCCCCATCAGCCAAGGCCTAAAACCCAAGGCTAACTAGAGGGAGAGAAGTGGGGACAGCTGTAAATGTCCATCAAATGACCGCTAAGCTTAGGGACAAGCTGGCTGACCCATAGAAGAGCTCCCATAGGTTCCTAGCACCTGTGGAGGAGTAACCCTTAGGAGAAGAAGTTGGCAGCAATAACCTGCCAGCTTCCTGGGAAGATGATTTCCTGGGGTGGTCCCATGCCAGTTGTGTACCCCCGCCTCTATGTCAGAAGGCTTTGCCTTTCTGCCTCCTTTAA